CTCTCGTGGCCTAGAGGTTAAGGTGTACGCCTCTCATTCAAAGGTCCCGGGTTCGAATCCCTGTAGCGACGGACGGAATTTTTTTTCCTTCTAAAATTGTCTCCTTTCACCTCCTTTCCTGCTCTAGCCATGTTCAGTCGTCTGCATTCGTCTTCACTTTCTGCCCCCACCCCCTCACCTCCTTTGCCCCCCCCTCTGGGCTTCTGACTCTTTCTGCAGCCTTTTACTGCTACTCCTTGGCTGCTTCTTACCTGTCCCCGTCGTTTTATGCAAGAAAAATTCTGAAATTATGCAAAATGAGCCCAACAATGAGAAATTATGCGATTCTCTTTATTTTAACAAAGAAAGATAAAGAAAAATAATCAGAAATTATGCAAAAAATGATCAAATTTTTGCTAAATTATGTGGGGTGCATAAAAACACGGGGACAGTCTTACAGCTGTCTTTCAGTCACACTCCTGATCTTCTGGTAGGACAGATCTACACCTAGCCTTATCGGACAAGGGTGAAAAATCTCGGAGGTCCCATGAGCAAGTTGCGTACGTTAAAGATCCCCTGGTGGTCTAAAATCGATAAGAGTAGGCTTCATCGGCCACCCGAGTGAAATTCTAAATTTCCTACCAACTGAAAATGCTCAATGTGTTCCGCGCGCTCACTCATATGACCTTATGCAGTTGCGAGCGCCGTGAAACACTTACCAAAAAAAATAAATTAGGAAGCAGCCTGCTTCCATTATGAGCATGACCATCAGCCTGGTACATGTACACCCATGACATTTGTGAGGCATCGTGGCTAAATCAGACTCTCGTCAAAATAATGAAATCAGTGAAATTGGCATTTCTTTTCTGGCCATTGGGCAATAATATTTTTCTAATTTAAAAAGAAATTTTTTTTGCTCAACACTTTTTATATCCTTTTAAAACACATTTGTGGGTGGATTTTACAGAAAAGCAATGACTAAAGGCTAAAAAAAATGTTAATTTTTTCAGTTTTCAAGGACTCTCAAGCTATGGAAATAACCAAACTTTGGTGGCCATTTTTCACTACAATTTACCTCTCAAATCGCAGAGACGAGTGGCTAGACAGATGGGCCAACGCAGAAACAGGAAGATCTCTCTTCGGGTACATGGACAAACCCAACCCCAAAGACCCTTCGAATCTTTTATGTAGAGCCGATCAGACATTGATCTTCAGAGCCCGCACAGGACACTTACACACCAACAAGCACATAAATAGAATTAACCCCATGTGGGAACTCCATTGCAGACACTGTGACTACTACGAGGAGACCGTTGAACATCTTCTCCTCCACTTCCCAAACCTGGCAGTTCTTCGACGCAAGCTCCTACACACACCTACAGACTTACAAAGCCTGCTCTACTCTGGCGTTGACCAGATGACAAGGACATGTGGTTACTTGAGGGAGGCATTGCGCTTCCAAGAGCGATATGCTCGCAGCTAAAGGGATTTGAAAACAACAAACAACAACAACAACCTCTCAAATTTGGCGACCCTGACCTCCTTCAATCGCAAATATTTCGACTTCTATTCAACATTTATGGACATTTTTTCCCCAAAGGCAAGGCAAATGAACCTTAAGATGATACCAATAACAACCCAATATGCCCAAAAATTGATGAGCATCTGATTCCACCACGTCGCGACACATTTGACAGACCGATTGTCTTCCCACTCATCAGAGCAGCCCATCCACCAGCTTAAATAAGAAGAGTTTTACGGCGCTAGCAACACAAATAGGTCCTAAAAGTGCCAAACATTAGAGGTGTTATTAGAAAGAAACAAACACAAAAAAGAAGGAGGAGAAATTAGGTGCTAGGGGCATTAAACCTTTACCATTTCACCATTTGAGAGGAGAAACAAGATCCTCATACTGAATAAGCCAGAAAGTCTTCATATCTAAGTCTGCGGCTTCTAAATGTCTTTTTAGGCTCAAGCCCAGTCACCTGGATGGAAAATGTTTCATAAACATACATATAGGCACTGTTTAAATGTCATATATAGTAAAATATGTATTTTTTAACAAATAAACAACATACACATGTACTGTTACAATGTATAAACAACATACATATACAGTCAAACCTGCCCTGACGGCCACCTCTATAAGACGGCCACCTGTACAAACGGCCACTTTCCATTTCCCCCCTTGCGTTTTTTCTATATAATTTAACTGTGTAAAACGGGCACCTGTCCAACGCGGCCGCGGCCACCATATTTTAACACACAACCCCTATCACACTAAGCAAATACACCTGTCTAAGACGGCCACCTGAGCGACTCCATTACGTTTTGTCAAAAATTGTGCACTGGCCCCTGGCGTTGTCGGCGAGCCGTCATAATCTAATCACCTGTCGTTGTTGTTCGGTAGTCCCTCCAACCGATCATGTAGCGTAGGCCCCTCCCACTGTTGACCAATAGGTAACAAAATTAATTTTCAGCTGCTGGTGAGGTAAGCGTGTGATCCCTCATATCCCATAAGCCCCGCCCAGAATACATACACACAAATCGTAAGTGAGATGAGTGGTCACTGTTTACCCAGTCTGTAACAAAGGACGTCAACCTGAACTTGTGACAGAATCGTCGCTCGTTCTCCGAATGGTAGCGACACGTGTGTTTGTTTTACCATAGCACCCGGTCCTCCTTGTCTCACACATTTCGTTTTATTGTCACCCTTGCACAAAAGCAGCAACAAAAGAAAAAAAGAGAAGAAAAAACCCCAGCGAAAACAACAACAACAACAACATAACAACAACAACAACAATGCGGCTACCTTCGGGTGGGACCTCAGAAAAGAATGGTTTGTTTTCTTCATCTTGATCAGTCCTGCCTAAGACGGCCACCTGTCTTATACGGCCACTTTTCTCCTTGACAATGGGTGGCCGTCTTACACAGGTTCGACTGTATGTACGTTTCAATAAAATAAACAGTGTGGGGGAAATCAGGCACTTGTCAACATAATGAATTTGAAAAAAAACCCCATCATTTTCTTCCAGTCTGGCAATTATTTATATTGATTTTTGGTTTTTTTCACTCAACACATCTTACGTAAAATAAAATACACATTGATCAAAGGCATAAAAATATAAATTTTCAGTTTCCAAGGACTCTCAAGCTATGAAAGTCGCCAAACTTTTGTGGCCATTTTCGCACTAATTTTACCTCTGAAATGAAGCGACCCCAACCTCCTTCGGTCGCAAATAGCTTGACTTCTGTTCTAGATAGATGGGTCGTTTTTTTCATAAAAGGCAACATAAATGAACGAGCTTTAAGACGACGCCAATAACTCTACAAGCCCAAAAAATCAACGAGCGCCTGATTCCACGGTGTCATGACACATATATAGTGCAGCCTCTCTATAGCGACCATCAATATATAACGACATCCTAGGCATAGCAACATGGTTCCACGGTCACGATTTTTTCCTTTTATATATGATTAGTAATTTTTGGTTGTCTCCCTATATCGACAAATCTCTATAGTGACACTTTATTCCAGTCCCGATGATGTCGTTATAGAGAGGTTGCACTGTATGTGTACTGTTTCTCAAGTTACTGGGTTTATCCCTCATTCTCAATGACATAACACACAATTTGGAAGCTGAATGGTGTGCGGTCCAACTTGCTCAAACGGCCACCTGTATAAGAAAATCACATGTACAAACGGCCACTAGTATACAAATAATCACTTGAGCATAAACGGCCCCTCGTATAAACGGCCACCTGTATAAGAAAATCACATGTACAAACGGCCACTTGTATACAAATAATCACTTGAGTATAAACGGCCACTCGTATAAGACAACAATTGTATAAAAGCGGCCACCTGAATAAGACAATCACCTCTACAAACGGTCACATGTATAAGACAATCACTTGTACAAACGGTCACATGTATAAGACAATCACTTGTACAAACGGTCACATGTATAAGACAATCACTTGTACAAACGGCCACATGTATAAGACAATCACTTGTACAAACGGCCACATGTATAAGACAATCACTTGTACAAACTGTCATTTTCCATTTCTTCCGTTGCGTATATTTTACATTATATAATGACACTACGTGTCTAAGACAGCCCCTATTCTCTTCGCCAATGGCTGGCTGCCTCAGAAAATTTCAATTGTAATGCATCAGGTTTTCAAGCAAGATTTCTGAAGTCTGATGGCACAAAGAAAAAAGTAAGGTAAAAATTTGGCGAAACCGGGACGAAAACAGTTCCACGAAAAAAAAAGAAAAAAAAGATCAGTGCTCCTGAACTCACAAACATTTGTGAGGCAGGGTGGTGAAATCAGGCGTTCGTCAAAATAATGAAATCTGAGCAACAGGCATTTTTCTGACAGTTTTTGGTATTTTTATCGAATATTTATTTTTTGGCTTAACCTCTTTTAGGTCTATATAAAAACACATTTCCACGTGAGTTTTACTGAAAAACAAGGATTAAAGGAACAGAATACGTCATTTTCCAGCTGTCAAAGACTCTTTAGCTATTGGAGTCACCAAACTTTGGTGGTCATTTTCTCGATAATTTCACCACTGAAACCAGACGACCTTACCTCCTTCAATCGCTAATATCTTGAATTCTAGTCAAGATAGATGGATATTTATTTAATTAAAAGCAAAGCAAATGAAACAGCTTTCAGATGATACCAATAATTCCACATGCCCAAAAATTGATGAGCGCCTGATTCCACCGCGTCATCAAACATATGACCAAAACATTTCGAGAGCTGAGTTCAGGACGACAAGCTCCTTCCTTTCTCCACGATCGCAAAACCCGAGGAGTTGGGAACTTTTGCAGTTGCGAGCGCCGTAAAACTCCTACTAATAAAAAGGAGTTGGGAACTTTTCTTCACAGTGCCTCTTCCCACAGCCCCGCGGTGGTTCTAATTCTGGCCTGCCGCAGCTTGGCCTACAGATCTATTTCTCCTTGCCGTCTGAAGTCTGCTGCTCAAGGTCATCTTCCCACTTGTAGGTTGCGATCTTCGTCTTGTGCTCTGAGGGAGACAAAATGCTTTACAGCCCAATTGGTACAATTTGTTCATTTTACTGTACGACCTTCTTCTTCTTCCTTCCACTGCCACCACCACTACTACCACCACTATTATTACCTCCACTACCACCACTACAACCACCACCACTAACACTGCCATCACTATCACCACCACCACCACCACTAACACTGCCATCACTATCACCACCACCACCACCACTAACACTACTACTATTAATATTTTTATTCATGGTCTGTCTCCGCCTTCTATGTTTCCAGTCTTTCCTCCTCCCCCCTCACCTGGTACAGTAGTCTCCGCCTAAACGCACGCCATACAAAAGCACGCTCCGCTCAAACGCACACTTTCGTCATCTGACGGATTTTTTACGATATAATTTACACGTACAAACGCACGGTCACTCCCTCTAAACGCACGCTCCGATCCGCGAAACACGCCGACAAGTTAAGCTTGGCAAGGGGGAAATTTTCACTACAACCTGCGCAGCTTGCATAAGACAAGCCTAGAATTTACAAGAAAACCGGAGGTGAGAGTGCCCCTCACGCCGTACAAAAAGAGTTATGGACAGCGTTTACACACCCTACTTTCCACTGACTCATAGCTCTTGGTCTAGGGCTGTTCAGTTAAATTTTTTTTGGGGGGTAGGGTGGGTGTTCTGAAATGTTTTTTGATTGGTCACTGGAAATGTATCTTTGAGAGAAGGTTTCCGACTGGTGTTTGAGAGACTGTGTGTAATGTTTAGTTAGATCTAAGCCTTATGCGCGACACGCGTAAATTCCGTAAAACACTAGACAGGCCTCTATAGGATTAAAGATTAGCCAAGTAAGCATAATAAGCTGCGCTCGAAGAACTTATAACGTACTTGTTCAACGAATCACAAGAGAAAATGTATCTCGAGGATGATTCTGCA